ATACCAAGACGTTGGCTTGAGAACAAAGCATTTTTTCCTGAAACAAGAAATGTAAGTTAGCAGACCAGGTGGAGATGGTAGTAAGTGAACAAACAGTACATGCCCTGTCAAAAGCCAACAGTCACTACTCAGCTCTTGCTGAGTGCTGCCATGAGAAAAACCTGGCTTAGTGCTGTGTTGACAGCCCCTCTTAATTTTTGAGAAGAAAACATAGATTTTTTTTAGGTAAAATCTCCCAATTCTTAAGTGTTACTAGCTAATTCACTTATTTTCTTTTTTTTTTTTTTTTAATCACTATACAGGCCTAACAAAATACATCTCTGGGCCACACTCAGTTCACCAGTTTGGAAGCTCTGATGTAGTATGAAAAAGAGGGTCAAGGGTGACATCTTGAGGGACGGTCAAAGAGAGGCACAGATCAGAAAAGAGTCCAAGAAAGAGGAATCAGCTAAGAGTAGGATTATGGAGAGAGAATTTCAAGTCTGCAATATGAAATGTAGCAGAGATGTCCAGAAATCAATGGTAACTGGTATAACTTTTAGAAGCAATTTCAGTGGCATGGTAGAGGCTAAATCCAGACTCTGTTATGAGGAATACACACACACACACACACACACACATTTTTTTTCAAAACCACAAGGTTAAATAAGCAGCTCCATGTACAAACGGCGTTCTTCTTTGCAATAATTAAAATAAGCTTTGTAAATATTACAACATATGCAAAATATTTATAAGAAGCACTTGAATATCTTTGTGGAACTTAGGAAAGGTGTTTTCTAAATTCATCTACAATTCAAGAGTTTAAGAACTCAGCCACTGCCTTGCTAAGCTATGGTCTGGTCATGTGTTCTTTGAGCGAAGGCCAGGCCATGTTTTCTTAAGTTTTGGCCCCCTACCCTACCTTGGGGAAGTGGATCTCAATCAATCTCTCTCTCTCTAATTTACTTTTTAAATAAACTCTATTTTCCAGTTGGGCGTGGTGGCTCACACCTGTAATCCCTGCACTTTCAGAGGCAGAAGTAACAGGATTCCCTGAGCCGAGGGGTTCAAGACAAGCTTGGACAATTTGGCAAGACCTCATCTCTATAATAAATCAAAAGTTAGGTGGGCATGGTGGCATGTGCCTGTGGTTCCAGTTACTTAGAAGACTGAAGTGGAAGGATCGCCTAGGCTCAGCAGGTTGAGGCTGCGATGGCTGTGAGCATGCCACTGCACTCCAGCCTAGGCAACAGAGTGAGACTCCAACTCAAAAATAAATAAATGAATAAATAAATAAACCACATTTTCCAATCTAAAAAAAAAAAAGTTTAAGAACTCAGTGAAGACTATCAAAACCAGACCTGACAACCTCTATGTTGATCAAAAACCTTGACAGCTTAATTCCAAGTAGAATATAAACTTTGAGATATTCAATAGAAAGCAAAACAGAAATACTATGAGAATTTTTGCCTTATTATATGAGATAATTCTTTGGTCTCATTATGTCCTAAAAGTCACTAAAAATTCCTACATGCTAAAAACACTAGGGGCAACAGTGAAACCTCCCCTCTTTCTAATGTCCCAAGGTTCTGCTTCATGAACCACCTTGACAGTCCTACTTTTCCAAAAGAGATTAATAGCCTCTCTATTAAGCTTTTGCCTCCCTTCTAGGTGACATATAGACAAAAAGAAAACCTCACAAAATAACCATTATTCTCATAAATACCATAAGTTACAAAGAATATGCTAAAATGCTAGATGTTATTAAACTTCCCTATTTATGTTTATAATTCTATTACTAGGTGAATATTGTTATTCCTGTTTTTTAATGAGCAAACTGGAGTTTTGAAAGGTTAAATAGTTAATAAGTGCCAGGGTCAAGACTTAAATGCAAGTCTGACTCCAAATGCCAGTATTTCCCGTACTTGTGATAATGCTTAGTAATGTTACCCAAATATTCTACCTCCCAGCCTTCAGGGCACATGGTAGGACTGACATTCTGGGAACTCTATTTGGGTGAGGCCATGTGACAAATTCCAGCCAATGAATGGAAATGAGATGTACTTCTTCTAAGCCACAGAATTTGCTGGAGCAAAACCCTCCAGAATGCTCTCTTCCAACAAAGCGTAAGATTGGTGACAACTTGGCCCTATCTTGAGTCCTAGAGTGCAGAAACACAGAGCAGAGCCCCCAGGCAGCTTGCAAAATGTGGCACATACAATAAATACTCCTTTGTCGGTAGGCAGCACCAAGATTATTGAGTTGTTACCACAGCCTAATCTATCCTGAAAGCTACCACCAGTGATCTGAAGTCAAATAAACACATTTCAGTGGGTAAGGATATAAAAAGAATGTGGGCAAGGAAACAAAAAGGGAAGAAAGTTAGGGTCCACTGAGTTTTTCAAAGGGGATTTATGTAAAGTCTGGCATTAGGCAGTTGCCAACATCATGTAGATGAATATCTGTCTAACGTGCCCAATTGTTGTGGTTTTTCTTATAACTTTCCCACCTCACTAGCAATAAAACTTATGATTTAGTAAGTGGTTTTCAACTAGGGTGATTTCATCCCCAAGGACACATTTTTTTGTTCTCACAACTCTAGAGGGGGTTGCTACTGGCACTGAGTAAGTAGAGTATGATGTTAAACTTCTTATAATGCACAGAAGAGCCATCACAACAAAGAATTATTCAAGTAAAATGTCAACAGTGCTATGGTTGGAAAACTCTAATCTAGGTGTATAAAGCTTTCCCAGTTAGTTAGAAGAGTGGGAGTAAAAATACCTAATCAAAAATAGCAATTCACTTTTTTAAATGAGGTCATTATTTTTGCTCATCAAACTCATGCACTGGGGTCATTAATCCCCATGTTAATGCTATATTGGTTAATTATAAACAATAATAAAGTTTCCTTTGGTAAATACAAGGGTGAGACAGAAAAGTAAAAGTAGTACATAGATTATAACTCGTCCCTACTCAGAGAATTCAAAATTCAGCAGCCTTGTAGAAAGGCAATGATTTCAGCAAGTCATACTAGTCATCCTAATTATACTAAAATATAACAACTATAAACTTCTTCATGGTCAGTATATTAACAAAGCATTTAATATTTTTTGATCTGTACAATTATTACATAGGATCTTTAGATTCTGTGTAGATTCATTAAAATCAGATATTGTCCTAATTGATACATGAAGGTAACAACCATATTATACTATTAGAAGTTAAGAAAAAAGAAAGCTCTCTTGGGTTCTCTTACTCCCTTTAATTAACCAAGATTTTGAAGAATTCATCCAAGGTCAAGATAAATCAGAAAGCAGGTCTTTTTTGAGCAAGCACAATTCTAAGTCATTTCCATCTCTCTGTTTCCTGAGTTCTGTTAGCCTAATGGCAACTTCTTAATCATATCCGATCTTCTCAATTGACACCGTAAGACTCAACAAACATTTATTAAGTAATGAATGTAGACAGGCCAGACAATGTGCTATATATTTCTATGGCAGTCAACAAGTTCTTGCTTCTAAGCACTTAACAAACTAGAGGGGAAAAAAAAGATTAAAAAAACAAGTAAATATAAGTTCGTACAAATATGTAGGTGTTAGAAAGACATGTGCATTAGCTGGGGTATCTAACCTAGCCCAGATGGGAGGAGTCCAGGGAGGCTTGCCTAGGTAGGTACTATTTAAGCTGAGACCAAGAAGACAAGCAAGCCAGGTAAGCAGGTTTGGTAAAGCACCCAAATCTGAATGGTAGTTCAAAGGCCTCAAGTACGAGAAAACAATGGTAAATTAAAAGACAGGAACTGATGCTTCCTAAAACTGAGAACTCCATGAGTTCTAAGGAGGAAGATTTAAGACAGGAGGAAGAATGTAGAAAACCTCCTGTTTGTTCAACAAAAGCAAAAAACAGTACAAAATTGCCAAATCTCAGAAAATCAACTGATCTGCTCTTTCAGCTAGTTCATGACAACCTGTACAACAAGAAGACACCACGTTAACAATTGTGAGAAAACATTAGCCCTCTGCACTCAGATGTTCTCTTTGAGGGACACTGTAAATCTAGCAAACCACTGATTACACATAACAAACTGACGCAAGTGCAAATTTTTCAAAAATGTAGGTTTCTTTGAGGTTTTCCATTCAAAACAAAGAAAAACTTATGTTCCATTTGAAATTTGTTAGGTTCTGATTGATCAGTTGAGAAGTGGTTTTCAGGAATCATGAGTGTGTCCTTCCACGTTGTCTTTGAAAAACAGACTGGACAATAAATTGCAAATTATTGTGATAGGAAAAAAATGAGACTGCATTGTCTGCTCAAACAGATAAACACCAGGTGAAAGACATCAAACAAATTACTATTGCACAACTCGTATACATGAACCTGCAATTCACATCAATGACCATTTCACACGTTATCACGTTAGAAAAATACAAGATATAAAATTTTGATTTTTTTGTCATAAGTTTCTCAATGTCCAAAATTTTATTATAAGCCAATATCATTACAATAAAACAACTGGTTCCAACATTATACTATTTAATATGAAGTGATTTGTTTTCTACTCTATTTCGTAAAAAAGTACAGTCAAGTTGCTGGTAGGTAATCCACGAGATATCTCCAAGTACGAAGGGTTAATTTATATAAACTTCTTACCGTTCCACATTCTTGCACCAAATGTTTATTCTTTTTTAATTTTTTTAACACCAGAGGCCTTAAAATATTATTTGAATTCACTTATCCTAAATAAACATTCATTATTTTAAAAGGTGCTAAGCTTCTGCCTGATTTCTAAGAACCATGCTTAAATGGTTATTACTTTATTATATCTCCCTTTGTACTGTTTGGAGTACAAGGCTATGCTTATATACTTAATCCAAGTCCCTGAATTGCAAGAATCTTTGATTATATTATTCTCAATTATATGCAAAGATAAAACAAAACCTGGATGTAATTCTAAAACAAAATGAGTTTTCTCTATTTCTAAATTCTAAAATTGTTAAAGAATGACAATTTGAACAAATAAATGGTGATTTAATCCATTCATCTTTTATTTGTTTTTGGCAAACATAATATGAGTAAAACTATATTGCTCAATATAGTTACACACATTCTTTTTTGCTTTGTACAAGTTGTAAACATTTAAAGTGGAGAAAATTCTTGGCCAAAGACATATTCCAAAACTTTGACATATACTCTTCTGAGTTAGGACAAAAGAAAGCTTATAAAACTTCCATTAGACCATCATAATACAGCGAACTAAATTAATACATGTTGCTTTTAAATGATATCTGCCATTTTAAAAAAAAAAACATTTTTAGGTTATAGCTAAAATGATAGAACAGAATGACAGAATAGAAGCTGATCATACATATCTTGTCCATAACCATATTAGTCACTCAAAAATTTTAAAATATTAACAAAATGTAAAATAAACATATCAAAAAATCCTAATTCTTAGGGGAAAAAAACCTACCAACAAGTTTTTTTAGAATCTTTAGCTGTAGATGAAATTTATAATAACAAGTTCATAATATTTTGTGTTATTACCTCTTAATGCTGGTATTTTGATTTTAAAGTAACAGATTAATTCAAAATAAACCCAAAGCATTCAGCATTTTATAATTTCATTCTTTTATAAATTTCAGGCCTCCAAAATTTCAGATCAAGGGTTACAAAACAGGCAGCATGCAGAATACATTCTGCTTGGCAAGCAGAGTAGTTTTTAACCTTTTGAATCAGAGTGCTGTCGGGAAGTACTACTTGCTCTCATTGACCTACCACCTTCACTGTCACCTGTTGGGCATATAAGAAAGCTGATACCTCATTTTTAATATTATAAACTCAATATTATAAAAATTAGTTGTATTCATAAAGCAAAAATTCAAATACTATAAACCCGATGGTAAATCTTACCAAATTTCTAATTTGGGAAAAACAGATTAAACCAAGTCTCATTTTCATATTTCCTTACATAACAAATCATCAGAAACATTTGTATACATAGGTACTATCATCTTAGAAAGAATACTGTTATGAGTATCCTGAAATCTGTGCTAGATAAATCATCCACATAGAAAATTATTATACACAGGTCTTAGCTCACAAATAGTAGTAGCTTTCAACTTTATCCATTTATGCAACATAAAAATTCTCAAAATACCTGAGGTGAAGGAAAGTTAATACTAATAAGGCCAATAAAATAACAGTAACAGGGCTTTCTTCCAATCCAAAAGCAAAAAGGGAGATATCTTATAAGACAAATTGGAAAGGATAAGAGTTCTAAGTAAATGTAACCTTGAACCTTTTAACAATGCTACTCCCTCGGCTTGCACAAGGCAAAGAGTAAAAGAGGCCACAAAATGTTTTAGTTTTCCACCAAAAAGTTTGCAAGGCAAGCAAAGCAGTTGAGTATTGATTGAGAAAACATAATATAAAATATAAAAATGTGTAGCTATGAAGGAAATCAAGAGATGATGGTACTAACTGCCATTTAAAGTTTAAGAAACACCAAAGAAAAATAAATGAATTAGAAAGACATTAACCTGTTAGGTCTTTTTTAAGTTACACACAAATACAAGGCTCATCTTATTCTTTAGAGGTTGAAATTTGACAGAAGACACCTCGTACCTTTAAATTTGTTTCATTTCTTTAAACAACTGATTCCCATCTAAATAAATATTTTAAAATTCTTATTAAAGCAAACTTCTTAGATGTGCTTTGATGGGGCTATATATAAGGCTTCACTGTATTAATCCCATCAATATCAAGGTTACTACAATCAAGTTCATTTCATAAGCATTAATTAAATTTTCCATCACCATACTAAATTACTGCAATAAAGAGATGGAGTCATTTCTTCAATAAAAACTACATTTAAATGGTTATTTTGAAAGTTTGTAATAATGGGGGGAAATCTTAAAAATTTAAAATTTATTCCAACACAAAACAGAATGTGCAGGACACTATATAAAGAAAAGAATCAGCAAATAGGGTACCATCTTGTCTATGAATGGCATTCTTCACAATGGACTTTCAAGTTTTAAAAATTCCACTAAGAGGACACTGATTAAAGTTTATCTCTGATATATTTCTAAAAAGCCTGTAAGTTGTTTTGCCATAAAACTTATTTAAGGTAGTTGTGTTTTTCAGTAGCATTTAGAACAATCCAGCACTTGGTAGGAATACTCAGATTGACACTGTACTAAAGTATTATTGTCTAATATTTTGTAAACTAGCTGCAATTTTCAGTAGCTGTGTTTACCAACCGTGTAACAGAATTATAATGTTCTCCTAAGCCATATGCATGTCTCATATATCTGAAATGAAAAAAAAAAAGAAATGACTATTTTGTTGAAAGTAACTTATATATAAATGCTTGTTATGTACATAAACCAAGGACTCTGAATGACTCAGCCTGTGGGGATATCATTCAATAGACCACATGGACATATTAAGAGTTCAACACCATTTTAAAAGTAGCAGCAGTCAGCAAGATGTCCTTAAGTCATCAGAGAAAATAGAAGGGCTGAGATGGTGAGTGCTCAATAAGCTTAAATTTTCATCTAAATCCTAGCCATTAATGACTACCTTAGTAAGGTTAGCTAATAAACACTGAAGTCAATAGCAAACTTCATCTGCTGTAATTCAGAAGGGATTTCTCAAACATAAAATATTTTCACGATATGAATAAAGTAACATGAATATATTTCAGCATTTACACTTGATACATTTAGCATTATTAATGTAAAAGCAGGACAACATATAAACTAGTTCTAAAATGTTGTAAACTTTAGAAATGACTTTATTCTTAGCTCATACACATACACAAGAGTAAATCCTTAGAGGTTAAAAACTTATCTCAATCACATATTTTGATGTTTTCTAGTTCCATAATTGCTTTTAATATAAAATATGCAGAATCTGAAGGTAATTGCTTTTGATTACTCAATATATACAATCTAAAATCTTTTTATATTCCTTTTGTCTTAATTATAAAAATAAAATAGTAAAAAATTGTGGGTACTTACACAAGCATTAATGGGTTTTTTGGATATTCTTCGCCAACAACAATAGGAGGAGAATCTGCCTGTATTATTTCTATTGGTGTCTGTAAAATGTGAGACAGAGCTCTTAACTATGGGGGGGAAAAACAGAATTAGTAAGAAAAATAAAAATGCAAATTTTATTCAAACCATAAACTACTGTAGTACACATAAACAGGGAAACAATCAAAGCAGGTATGTGCTCTGTTTACCATTGTACACTGACAGTCTGACATACAGTGGGCACTTAAAAAATATTTATTGAATAAACAAATACAATATAGGTTGAGTATCCTTTATCCTAATGCTTGGGACCTAAGGTGTTTTGGATTTTAGACTTTTTTCCATAATTTAGAATATTTGCACATACTGCATAATGAGAAGTTTTGGAGACAGAACCCAGTCCCAACTTAAACTCATTTATGTTTCATATGCACCTTAGAAACATAGCCTGAAGGTAATTTTATACAATATTTTTTAATAATTTTGTGCATGAAATGAAGTTTTGACTGTGTTGTGGCTGTGACTTGTCACATTAGGTCCAACTTTGAATTTTCCATTTGTGGTATCATGTCGGCACTCAAAATGTTTTGAGTTCTGGAGCACTTCATACTTGAAATATACCGATTAAGGATGCTCAACTTTTTTTTAATCCAGTCCTCTTTTGAAGGACAGCATGGTTGCTTCCAGGTTCTTGCTATTGTGAACAATGCTGGGATAAACATACGTGTGCAGGTGTCTTTTTTATAGAGTGATTTGAGTTCTTCAGGGTATATTCCCATACACAATGGAATACTATGCAGCCATAAAAAGGAACAAAATCATGAATTTCGCAGCAACCTGGATGGAACTAGAGTCTATAATACTGAGTGACCTCTCACAGAAACAAAGATCTGAGTATCACATGTTCTCACTCATATAGTGGACCTTGATCATCCAAGGTATTACCATAAGAAAATGACTGACAGTGGTGGGAAACTATGGGGGGGTAGGGAGGGGAAGGGAGATGGGATTAATGGTAATAAACATCTGTCTGGGGACGGGGAGACACCTCTTATCAACAAGGGTGCCCGAATGAAGCATATTTGTATACTTAATCCTTAACTGTACCCCACAATATCATAATAAAAAATATTGTTTATTAAAAAAAAAGGATGCTCAGCTTGTGTTTACTAAGTAAAATGCACAGACTTCTCAAGCCCTGGCTGCACAACAGCTTTGTAAAAATATCAATGCCACAGCTAATGAAGAGAGGTGATGGGTAGATTGATTTTATTATGCTAGTGTCTCTATTTTGAATATTCTTGAATAGTTATATAACAAGATTTTGAAAATATATGGCTTAAGCACTAGATTAAATTAACCAGGATGAAGGATGAGGAGAGGAAAAACAGAAGGTCTATTTTTTAAAAAGTTTTTCAGATGATTCTAATGTACAACCAGTGGTAAGAACCAATGTTCTATAACTTTAAGCCAAGAGCAGAATGAAATACGTATATGAATTATACTGCCCTATCAAGGAATGTCTACCTCTTATACAATTTTAAGTAATTTCATACCATACAATATAAAACTAGAACCCAAAGCCAGATAAATGGCAGTTGTTAATGAACGTTAATGCTAACATTTTTAAAGACTTACTATGATAAAGTACTCTAAACACTTTACGCATATTAATTTATTCAACCCTCTCAATAATCTCTCAAAGTACTATTGTTACTTTAAAGACCTAAAATCTGAGGTAAAGAAAGGTTAAGTGACTTGTCAAAGTCAAGCCTTCATTGAACTAAGGAATTCTGACTCTAGAGCTCAAGTTCATAAACAAATTAATCATTAACAACCTTCAATCATACCTACCAGGATGCCAGAAAATGTAAATACAATTTAAGAGATGTTTGCCGTAACTAGAAGTGTCTGGATGCTGATGATAACCACTTTGAGTACATCTTTTAATTGCAGAAGTCAAACGTGACTTGTATTAATCTTATTGAGTATTATAATGTTAATAGTTTTAATAGTTTAATATATTTTTAACAGTTTTTTCCTTTCTTAAAATATGCATACTTTTTTTCGGCCCTCTCCGTATTTGCCCCTTTACAAGAACATTTTATCAAGAACATAGTCCTTTTTTGAGGTTTTAAAGGAATGTAAGAAATTACTTCAGAAATATGGAAAAGGTTCTATGCTGCATATGGCAAATTTAATCCCATACTCTGTCTTATAAAATGTTCCTCTGAAGCATATTTTTCTTTTATCTAACATAACTGGTTAAACTAGTTGAATGGAGGGTATGAAGCAAGTTATGGAAATCCTATCATCCCTTCTAACTTCAGAAATGTAGAAAGATTTTCTCTTTAATTATTTAAAAGTATCCCATTTGAAAACAGTAACTCATTTCAAATAAACTCACATTCATGAGTAAATGTCCCTCAAGTAATTTAAGAGGGTTTTCTTAATTTAAATAGAGTTGATTAGGTTTCTGATACTCATGTTAATTTGTGATCTTTTTAAGAAAATTCAAGCATCTTTATTCCTAATGTAGTTAAAAAGCTACTATGAAAACTTCCCAAGTTTTAGAAACCCAGGAGAGACATAACAAAACTAATGGATACAGTTCCCTCTGGTGGAGAGGTACAAACACAGCACTGCTAAGAAAAAGATTTTGGAGAAACATTCATACCTCATTTGCAAACAGTTCATAAAGTGAAGTAGTTAGAGTCACAGACTATTCAAAATGATTAATCATATTACACAATACTATTAATAATAATACAGCTAGATACATCCATCTGGCACTGTAGCTTACAAAATTTTATTAATGTACTCCCTTATTTCATGTTCATAAATGTTCAACTAAGTAACACAGGGGTTTTATTATCTCCACAGTCAATAATTAAGAGACTTGAGCTTGAAAGTTTGGCTGACGCCCTCAAGGTCACAAAACAGCAAAATGGAAAGAAACGCCAGAACCTAAACCTAGAACCTAGAACTTGACTTCTTATCCAGGCTTCTTCATGACCACCAGGCCCACAGAAGTATTTGTTTATTCTGTTTTAATAAAACAACTTAATAGTAAGATTTTTTAAAAATTAGAGCTAAAAAGAAATCTTGCTAACTCCCTACAAGTCACTGAACATATTATTTTCTTACATATACACTTTAATGTATCATCTACTGCTTTCAGACAAGTTACTACAAACTAGGAGTAATAGATGTGGTAGACTTTCCACATAAAAATATCTTCTATTTTGAATATAAAGATAATATTTTCCAATAATAACTTTCATTAACTAAGCTACTAGGGTAAATTTTACTTTACTTCAGTAAAATCTCTACTTATATAAATCCAGAAAAATCAAATATATTTGATTTTTCAGGCCTTATGGAGCTATTTAAAATGAAATAGTGCTTCACTTTGTCAAGTACATATCTTAATCAAAGACCTAACAACATTAACTCTCTATTTATATAGAGGAATAGTATCTACATAAAGAAAAAGAATCTTCAAAGAGAAATTGGGATCAGATAGAAATAATTTAACAACCCACAATCACTATGAATTACAAACTTACCTCAAGTTGACCTCCCCATGCAGCTGTGTTTACAATATCATCACAGTACTTTCCAAACTCTTCTGTAGAGAACAGATTAAAAAATGGTACTTAATAATTTTCGTAACTCAATGCTACAAGATCCCTTTTATAGTTCCCACAATTCCTGATGAAAACACCCAAGTTATGAAAATTCTCCTTCTCTACCAGTACCCTCCAGAACCTAATCTACCTCCCAGACCCAAACTAAATTTAGCCAACTTTTTACTGCCTTTCCATCCAAGAGCAAAGCAATTTATTTCTGCTTCTCTCCCTCAGTCTGAAGCCCAGGAACTTTACCTAACAAAACAAACCTACTTCTTTCTCTTTGTCCCAAGCAATCACCCCTCATCCCACCAAAACTGCTGTCATATTTACCATCTTGACGTGTCCTGAAGCCCAAACCTACAAACAGAAGAACAGTATGGAAGACTAAAAAACACAGCCCCTATATAATCAGGATTACAATAGGACTCTATGAGAAATGACCAAAGAGAATTAGGGTAAACTACAAATGAATTGAAATTCCTTCCTCAGAGGTAGCATCAGATAGTGCCTTCACTTGCAATTTTAGAAGCACTTATTTACAAAGAAAGGGTTTCTTGGATCAGTTCTGAGGGGAGAAATAAAAGACCTAACCACTAAGTTCACAAAAGGCATATCTTGTATATAACATCTTTTTAAACAGCAAGTTAAAATGCAAATCAAACATCCTGTTCTGAGAGAGAAGGAAGAATTATGGACATCTAGAAGAAAACTCTGTGCCATAGGTTTGTCTCATTCCCTGTTAAATCCTCAATGTTCAGTGCCTAGAATAGTGCCTGGTACACACTGGCTTTCAATAAATATTTGTTGAATGAATGAAGATAATTAAGTTGTCATTTTCTCTGACTCAGGACACTGAACTGCCACTTCCTATCAAAGGCCCTACAACCAACAGAGTTGGGAAGTCTCAATAATTGGGTAATCACTTTGACGATAAAACACAGAACAGTCATTTATCATGCTACCTCTACAAATATCAAGATACATGGAAAAATGTGCTTCGTGTGCCATAGCAAACTCCGATTATTTAGAAAACAGCACTGACCTATGACAGCAAGAGATATGTTTAACATTTCCAAATTAATTTAAGTTAATTGGTTACAGATTTAGATGTACCCAAATTCTTGAGATCAACAGATACTCAGATCATACACCTAAAGTAGATTTAATTGACTGCCATGCTCATTCTTAGCCATTCTGCATCATGCTCACCTTCCTCCCATGAGGGGCAGACACCACTAAAGGAAAGTAAACCTTAATCATCCTCTATCCTGGCCCTGTTCCAGTGGATGCTCCCAGAACCGCCGCCTTCTCTCAAGGACTGTCATCTATTCTATTCTTTACCCCCTTGAAACACTTTCATATTTTCACTTGTTTACTTTCTCATTTGCTACTGTTGTACTTTTTTTTCACCTCACCATAAATATTTTACCTTAATTATAAAAAGTATTATACAGAATTAAGCAAATTATTAACTCTGCTGGTTTTGGTTGTGCAAAATCAAATTTTATTTGAATACTAGTCGTCCTAATTATAGCTCATTAAGAATAAAATTAAATTTTCCAGATATAGGATAAAAGGGAGAAATAGTTTTCCTAATAGTTTTCCTAATTTATATGGTCTTCAGGCCATATAAATATGTATTTCCAGAGGCTGGTCAAAGCTTACCTTCTATTTTTAACTTTGTCAGATTTGAACTTAACACATTTTTTTTCTCAATAATGATTATTCCCATTCTGTTTTTATCTTATATAAAGCAATTTCCATATTTTAACTACAAAATGATTATGTACATAAAGAAATCTTAATGAAGTAAAATATACCAACTCTACTAAAATTATAAAAAAATCACACTTTATTGCAGCATTATTTACAATAGCAAAACATGCAACCAACCATGCTGGCCATCAAAAGTGGACTGGATAAAAAAATGTGGTACATATACATGATAGAATATTACATAGCCACAAAGGACAAAATTATGGATTTCGCAGAAACTTGGATAAATTTAGAGTCTACAATACTCAGTGATCTATCACAGAAACGAAGAACTGAGTACCACATGTTTTCACTTAGAAGTGGACCCTGAATATTAATATTCTAAGAAAGGGCAGTAGTGGGAAACTGCCAGGGTAGGGGTTGGAGAACAAAACAAGGGCACCTAATTTCATACCAGGCAATAAGGGCACCTAATTTCAAACCAGGCAAAGTAGGGACCAAAAGGAGGCCCAAACTTTCCCTGTACAATGACAATTTGTATACCTAATCCTGAATTGTATCCTACATCTTTAAAGTAAAAAAATAAAATAAACAGAAAAAAGAAAGATGCCCATTGGGTAAGCCAATTAATAATAATAATAATAATAATGTAAGCCAATTAATAACAATAATAATAATTCTTCCTAAATCTTTAAATGTTTCTTCCTCATAAGAACTGTATGGGTTCTTCTTGTGCCCAGTCCCAAGAAGCAATTTATTTAAAAACAACCACAACCACCAAAAGCAACAAAATGTAGTAAACAAAAATAAATTACCTAGGGTATACATATTTCCTGTATTAGGGTTTGTTAAAAATGGCAAAAAGTCTTCCACATGGTTTTGCATATATTCAGCAGTTTGACTTCTCAAGGCAGCCACAGTCAAAATACAATTCTGTTCTTTCAGTTGATCTTCAATGGCTCTATACATACAGTGGCCATCAGATGTAATCTGCTTGATTTCCAACTGTCTATCTGCCAATATTTGAGCAAGTTTTTCACTTTCTATATGTCTGGCTCCAGATAAGTTCTCAATTTCAGCTTCTGCTATCCTTTCTTCTCGCTCCTTTTCCAATGCAGCTTTCTTTTCCTACGAAGAGGAGAGCACAGGAAAGTTAATTAATAATAATTAGGACTTTCTCAATTACTAAGGCAATGGAGACTTGCCACTTTTCTCCCTTTTCCCACAAGCACCATCACACTGAACATCTCATCACCTGGATAATTTTCTACAGGGTGAACCTCTTTAAGGGCATAATATCATACTCATCTGTGTGTTCCCAGCACCTTGCTCTGTACTGAAACGCTAATATTTTCTTTAAAATCTACTTAAAAATTACATGCCAAGTTTCTAAAAACTTTACTTACTGATTTCAATGTACTATTTTAAGACTAAGTTGTCCTAGGCCTTAAAGCACATTATTATTATATTTAAGCCCAGGATAATCCAAGCTTCTCAACTTATCACTCTACCAGTGAGTTAACATGCTAAAGCCTTTAGAGGCATATAAGTGAACACTCTTTTTATCTAGTTGTTTAAAAAAGTGTGCATAGGCATATACATATTTAATAAAGTTTAATAAAGCAACAGGTTAAAACATTCATCTTTTAAAAAAATTAAAATAGTACAGATAGACTAGAGCTCTTCTCCCTAAAAACCACTGCCAGGCCAGTATTAGCTCTAGTGGTGTGGTGTGTATCCATCTAGATTGTATTTCTGTGCATTTAAGTAAATACAGTATACTCGTGAAAAATGTATACAATTTTAACAAAAAATATTATACATTACATTCTGCAATTTGTTCTTTACTCAAATGTCTTAGGAGATCCTCCCATGGCAACATATGCAAGAATGGGTGAGGTGAGGGCAATGAGAGATTTGTGAGATAAAGGATAGGAGGTGGGGTAGAAAGGCAGGAGAAAGAAGAGAAAAAGATCCTGACACCTGGACTAGTAAGGATCAAAATCCAGAAAGTACTATATGTTTCATAGCTAAAAATAGTTCACAGAACTAGAGTACCAGAGAAAAGTGTCATGAGATAAGGTTGGGGTCAAAATAGAAAGGCAGATAGATAGTTAATATACATTAAGTCAATGATTACATAGTATTTAAAAAAAAAAAAAACTGGAAGGAAATAGACAAAATATTTACAGTGCTTCTCTCTGAATGGCAGGATTCCAAAATCTATCCAGTTTTATTTTTGTGTGTTTGTGTCCGTGTGCTTTTCTGCATCTTTCTAATTCCCTACCATATATTTTACTTGTACATTCAGGGGAAAACTGTTTTTCAATTTAAGAGAATAAAAAGTTAAACTAAATTCTATAAACTTTGACATTAGTAGTAATTACAGTGAAGAATCTGGTAAACAGAAAGTAGGAAAATGTAAAGATTTCCATATCCCTAGCTCTAACTCCTCCTTGGAACAGAAGAAGTGAAAAGAAAGGTAAGTTTCAATTAAACTTACTGCTGTATGCTTGTACTACTTGCATGTCATGTGCCACGCTAGATGAACCTGAACTGATTTCTTAATCAACTGCATCAAAAGCAGTAGTATCTCCCTATAAAACATAAGCCTATTTAAGTTTTTTCCTCCCATTACAGAAGTAACACAAACAAATATATGGCACTGCGTATCTACAACTGTGGATCACAGAGGCATAAAATCTTAAAACACAAGATGGCACTATTACTTTATAAAAGGTTAAAGAACAGTTTCAGAGGGGAGAGGAAGAATAAGCACCTTAGGTGTCATCTAATCCAAAACCCCTCATTTTCCTCTTCTGAGGAAACAGCACGCAGAAAGATTTCCAAAGGCCATACAGCTGGTTAGAGCAGAGCAGGGACCAAGGACAACACAGAGAGCTCCTTCTATCCAGGCACCTGAATCAGAATAAAAGTTGGAGCAGATGGGAGCTGGAGTTAATGATGTCAAGTACTATTTACTGGCAGAGTGGCACTTTATACTACTGTAAAACTATTTAAGCGTCTAAAATACTAATTCTAATCAATTCAGTGTTTTCCCACATGTTTTGCTTTAAAAGTACAAAGCAACTGAGTTTCCTTCCCAGGACACTAGGTAAGAAATCTACTGGACTCTTTTTCCAGAAAAGTATAGCATCCCAAGAGTACTCGGTACTACAGTTTATACAACCATAGTACTGGAGATAGAATGGCATCAATAAGGTCTAATAAAAACGTATAAAAGATGAAAACAGAATGTAAGTCAAAAACATATTGTTGATAAAATTAGAGTCATGTGATAGAGTAATACAGTGAAAACAAATTGAGGAGTATTAAGAGCTGAGCACTAGTCCTGGGTTTTTATCAAACTTTCAGTATACCATTGAGATAACCTGGGTTTCAGCTTTATTAGTAAAACAAAGAAACTGAACTCAATTTCATTCAAATTTCACATTTTTGGAAGCTAGTTCCTTCAAGTTCTACTTTGGACTCCTTCTACCATACCAAAAAGTTTCTAAGTAGTTTCAATTAAATAAAATACTTCTAAGTCTTTCTAGATTAAAAATAAGATGTGTGCTCTACAATATTCCACAATAAATCTTCATAAAATTTGATCACGTTTTCCTGTCAGAGCTGTATCTTTCCCAAAGATAAATATCATTAGTTTTGGCTTTTTATTCCTTAGTGTTTTTGACAAAAAAAGGGGGGGGGGGCTCTAAATAATCTAATACTCAATTGCCCACCCTGAATTCAAATTCAAGTTCTGTTTTCTTAAGCATTATAAACTTTTAGTGTTTTTTGTTCCAGAATTCCATTGATATAACATAGTAAAGGCAACTGGGCATTACTTCTAGAACACTTTCTCTGTCAAGTATTAAAGTAGCCGGCTATAAAAGATAATAAATATTTTGAGTCTATAGCTAAAAAAGGTATTTATTTCAGTTGTGCAGTATCTTAGAAAAAAAGTAACAAAATTTTTAAGAGCATTATGGAAGTACGTTTTTATTTGTTTTGTTGCCTAAGGGTTCAGGTGGGGATGAACAAGTTTTGATAAAGACAGGATGGAGTTGTGTCCTTATGTTTTACACAATAGACTACTATAAGATGTATTAATTACTAAGTAGAGATAATTCCAATAAATATTGTTAGGCTACCAGCATGTAAAACTTCTGTCCTTTGTTTTTGATCTACAAAAGCTAGATGACAATTGTGGGATCATCACAAAAGAATGTATATTTAAGCAGATTACCTCCAAGATCGCATGAGATCTAAATTTTATGATTCTACAAAATTCACAATTGTAATTATTTACTCATGAATAAAGTTTTAAGCCAGGCACATAATTCACACTTGTAAACCCAGCATTTTAGGAGGCCGAAGCAATAGGATTGCTTGAGCCTAGGACTAGCCTAGACAACATAGTAAGACCTCGTCTCACAAAATTTTTTTTAAAAAAAGACAGGCATGGTAGCACACAACTGTAGTCCTAGCTAACAGAAGGCTGAGGCAGAAGGATCACCCAAGTCCATGAGGTAGAGGCTGCAGTGAGCTGTGATCATGCCACTGTACTCACTGTGACAGAGTGAGACCCCAAATCAAAAAAAAAAAGAATTAAAATGTTATACTAGTATAAGAAATGTTTGACTTTAACTTTCAAACAACTTAGTCAACTTTCAAACAAAACACACTGCTCTTAATTTTAATTTTGTAAGAGGCATACTATGTAGTACTTTACACAGTAAGCAATATTATTATTTGTTGACCCTTTAGTTCTCCAGGCTTTGTATTAAGGGATTTGGCAATAGTATATTATTTAATATTCCCAATAACCCTATGAGGTAGGTATTATTTGTCCCCATTTTATATATGTGAATGAAACTAAGACTTAAAGACTATTACACAAATTATAGCAGTAAGTGAAATTAAAACCTCATCTGACAACAAACTCCATGCTCGACCAAATTACAAACTATCATAAGCTGCAAAATTAGTTTATAAATATGCATTTAAATCCTAGAACACATCAAGTGTTAGTAAAATAATACCTGTGAATATAAAGATTCGATTTAATCCTTTTTTTCTTTTACAAAGTCAGAGGGCCTTACCCTTACCCATCTAATCTCATTTCCATAATGTTGATATCATGAACTCGCTACTTCAAATACATCAGTTTCCTTATAGCTCTTCAATAATGCAATATTTCATTCTCACATATTTTTTTTTTTGTGCATGCTGTTTTTCCCATTTGGAATATCCTATCTAAATAATTATATTTTGTTCACATTCCAACCCATTATTTAGCACTTACATAATGAACTTTCCCTTCTTTAAATTTTCATCACAATTAACCATTATATAGATACTTACACAATTCTACAAGAATTTTGTATGCCTACATGTCTTAACTTCTAGCTTCAAATCCTTGTTTCTCACTGAATACCATAGTTTTCTAACCAGGGTTGTACATCAGAATCACCTGGACCCACACTGTGAAGATTCTGAATTACTAAGTCTAGGCTAATACACTTGAAAAAAAAAAGTCCTTTGCACTCCTGCTTCTCAGTCCCCCTTTCTGTGAGAACTACAGCCAGGATATGTTATTTCATATTGTCATAGGCCTATGTTTTGCTCTATAAAATGGGAATAAGAAATCCTACTTCACAGGATTATTGTCAGAACTAAATGAGACTTCATACAAGCAGCTTAGTATAGTATCTGACACATAGCAAATGCTTATTAAATGTTAGTTTAGGTCCCTTAACAAGAAACTCTATTTTTTCATTCCCTTTTTATACAATACCTAAGATAGTATTGAGTACACAGCACTAACTTATATACTTGGTGACATGACTTTCATACCCGTCTCTTTTGTGCTTTTGATATCCGAGGTGGATGATTCTCAAGTACCAAGTTTGAAACATTAACAGCAACAGAATCTATCTGAAGAAAACAAAAAGTATTAACAAGTCAATACAAATACTTTTAAATTATTATTCAAAGTATTAAGTCTTTAAATTATTGAAAATCAAATCCATCTAATCTTACGTTTCAAATTTGAGTTAACAGCACTAAATACCATATTAGGTAATATGTTTTTTGTCTCCTTTCTCTATTTTCATAGGAGAATTTGTCAGATTCCAAGAAGTTTCATATCTGCATGTATTTCTTCCTTCTCATAATGCCTACTCCATTTATCTAAATACAGTACAATATTTCCTATACAGTGCCAACTCATTCAGCATTCCACTATTCCCTTCTCTGACTGTCGATAGTACACATAAGATGTAGATGCTGTGCTGGCTCAGCTCATTACTGCCTTCATAACCTCAAATGTGGCAACTGAAGCCCTCCTCCATCCTAACCTGCCAGAACTTTAAAGAGTACTGATTCTTGACCCTAGTAATAAGCTGACTCCTTTCTATTTTTTCCCATCTACAAGCTGATAACTGAAAGCAGAAAATATATTTAATATATAATATCATTAGATATTACAACCAATCCTAATACTCAGATGGCTATTATGTGTTTGCTGGCGTAAGAAGTGATGCTAGGCTGGGCGCTGTGGTGCAGCTTGTAATCCCAGCACTTTGGGAGGCTAAAGCAAGAGAACTGCCTGAGTCCAGGGATTTGAGACCAGCCTGGGCAACTGGGTGAGACCTCATCTCTACAATAAATCACAAAAACTAGCCAAGCAAGGTGGCATGAGTCTGTAGTTTCAACTACTTGGAAGGCTGAGGCGGAAGGATCGCCTAAGCCCAGCAGGTCGAGGCTGCGGTGGCCATGAGTGTGCCACTGCACTCCAGCCTGGGCAATAAGAGTGAGACTCCAACACCCCCTGCCCAAAAAAAAGAAAAGAAAAGAAAATGATGCCAGACTTTTAACCACAAGAACTAAGTAGCTAGTTTTTAGTGTAACACATGCGTAGAACAACCCAAGGCTTTAATACAGAGAGACAGAAGTCTCCAAATAATCAAAATCAGATAAAAGATTTCAAAGACTGGTTATCAACTTTAGTAAATTAGGAATCCTATTATTTTTCTCAGAGAATGTGTTAAAATTTACGAATGGCCACACTGACAATAGGTGAGAGATGCCTCTAAAAAGCAAAAGCAATGACATAAGAATTTAGATAGTATTCAAAAAAGAAAACAAGTTTAAGTTAATGAAAACAATAACAGTTCAAAGTAGAATGAGAGTTTGTATCTTAACACTTGGACAACATGTTGTTTAAGAATCAAACATTTTAGTCTTTAGGAACCTGGGAAATAAATCTCAATACCGAAGGTCCTATGAGAGCAAACAAAACTATTTTGCCAATAGAAAAGATGAGGAGACAATTAAGAATATCACAATTGTGACAACACAATTAAAATACCTAAAGTATCATGCCTTGTTACCTGAAGATGAAATATACATACTAAGGGCATGGAAAGCCAGGAACCTGATGACTGGCTAATAAAGTTAAAGAAATATATCTAATGTAAGGACCACTGTAAATCAGTAGCAGCAGGCTGTTTCCCTTGTCAACAGTAAACCAAAAATGAGCCAAATGAAATTTAATTATGGCAGATAAGATTTTGCACAGACATAAGATCTTTCTAACTATCAAACGTGAAGTGAGGCTATAGAGTCTATGATCCTTCATATCCAAAATCTATACATTAAATGATCACACTATACCAAAGCTGTAACAGAATTTAGTATTCACATTCTGGAGTAAAATAATACTGAGTTTGAATTCTGGCACTGGCACTTAGTAGCTATTACTGCTTCAGGACAAAGTTCTTAAGCTCTCTAAGCCTGTTTCCCACTTGAAAAATGGGATCATATCTACATTTGATTCATAGGTAACACTTCACACTGTGCTACTAAGGATTAAATAAAATAATGCATGTAAAATATAGTGCTTGGCACACACATTATTAGCTACAATGCTAAAACAAATATTAACAAAAATGATGAAAGTTAGGATATTGCAACTTACCCAAGAAATATCAGTAAAATTTCATTCATCACAATTGGTTGATAAAGTACTTTTATAATTTAAAAAAGGTTTCACATATGTTGTGCTATTTGAGTCTTACTCAAATACCTGTGATTAGACAGCAGAAGTATTTGTGTCATATTACATGGGGGAGGGACATTTATAAGCTCAGGAAGATTAAGTAACTTTGCTCAGGTTACAATCCTGTACAGTGGCAATTTTGGGACCAGATGTCTGTTCTTCCAACTTTAATTTGGTGAAGCTTCATCTTTTGGGCAAGTAAACAGGTAAAGGAATATGGCAATTTGTTTGCTGACCTCCTTTATAAAAGCACACTGCCCTTTAAACCTAGTCACAAAAATATCGAGAGGTGATGTATGAGCTTAACTGAGTGCCTTCATTTCCCTACCAATTTTATGATTTCATATAAGAAGCAGTATTAGAAGTGGACAGCTGTTTTCAAATGCTGTAGGCAAAGACAAACATTATTTCACATACCTTATTGTCCTTAAAAGTCAACTTCAATTTCTCCAGTTCCTCTCTATGTTTCTGTTCCATTTCTTTTTCCAACTTAGCAACATCTTCTGTGAGTTGCTTCCTCCTCTTTTTGTCATTCTTGGGAACAGCATTCTTCATGCCCTGAATTTTGGCTGAAAACCCACCAAAATCATTAAATCAGAAACCAAGAACTAAGAGGAAATGAAAAACAAGAATCAATAAGGGGATGGTAAGAGGAGAAAGGAATAAAAAAGTAATTATGGAAGCAAGAGTCATCAAATAACAATCAGACAGCTTCAGAGAAGGGCCCAGATAAAGCTGAAACAAACAAACAAAAAACTTATTTTCATAACCTTGACATTTGTTTGTGTTGTTTCGTGGAACAGGAGAAGGGAAAAGAACTGACAAGCAAATTTTAAATCTTTCAAGTATCCCCTCTGGGCGCGTCTCAAAACGAGCCATTCAAAATGCTCCCATTAGGCCCATGTGTCTGCAACTGGGGCAGGAATGGAAAAAAAGGAGCCGTAGGGATGCTGGGAGGGGACCCAGTTTGGGTCCAAGCCTGGCTTTGAAGTATTTTCAGATACAGGTAAACAGGCAACGGCGCAGGGGGTTAAAAACAGGGGGTATGCGGCAGACTTCAGAAGAGGAAGTCTCTGAAGGCTGGGGACGAAGGGGCCGCCGTGGCAGGAGAGACAGGAGAGAAGAGGCCACTTGCTACTTTGGAGCGGTCTAGGAGGATCCAGATTAGCCGCCCCTCAAGATTCCCCAGAGCCGCGCCCTTCACTGGGTCCGGGTTGCCTCTAGACTCCCACATCCTTCCCCGTCACCTTGCAACTCCTTCTTCTCTTTGCGATGCCTTCTCACCAGCTGTTCCTCCTCATCAAGCTCCTCGGTCAAGACTTCCTCCATGACGACCAAGTAGCGCAGCGCACGCGCTGAAAGAGACCTGTACCACAGGCTCCAGGCACCTTCCACCCCTCAACCCTCATCCGGGCCGCCATTGGCCACCGCTGGGACCTAACTCCGCCTTCAAGGCGGCACCGGATCTGTGCTCAGCCATTGAAACCAGGAGAAAGGTGAGTGGAATGCTGCGCGTGCGCACTACCACGACTCTGCTCTGAGGTGAAGGGGGTGGTAAGGGAGGAGCCAGACGGCGCGCGGAGGCGTGAGCCTGGCCGGCCGGAGTTTGCAGACTCGTGATTGACTGTGACCCTAAAGCCCCTACCGTAGTAAAGCTACGCGCCACGCTATTGGCCCTGACGTGAGGCGCGCGGAGATGACGTAACGGGAAGCATTTGGATGTTTCTTTTTATGCTTGCTGAGAAAAACCACCTGTAATCTTCGATTTGGGTCCCTCTTGCTAAGAAGAGCTACTGGAAAAGGTAAGAAAGAAAAGTAAATATTTTTAATGGGACTGTCGATAATTATCAGTGGGAATCTCTTGGCTGTTTGGGGTCATAGGGAATTAAGTTCTGTTTATTGTTTTCAAGGTCGTAACACCGTCTGCGACTTTACCACCCTGAGCGCGCCCGATCTTGTCAAGGTCGTAATACTGCAGGTCAGAAGAAAGGAAGAGAGCTGAATCATCGAGAAAATGCCACTTCTTGAAACGGAAATGGAGGTGGGAATAGAAGATATTGAAAGGGGTCAGATTCGTGTATTACAGAGACTAGAAGACTTATGCTCAGGTCTGTTAGAGAACTTGGCAAGTATCAGGGAGTTGAGAGAGTCAGCAGAAATGTGTGATGTGGAGTCGTTACAAAACCCGATTACTGACATAAATGTAAAACAAGACAAATTCTCACAGAATGCAGAGGAAAGGGGTAAAGAAATCAAGATAAGAGGAGAAAAAGAAAGATCTAGGAGTCCTGTCCAGGAGATACAATCTACGCATAATAGGAATACCTGAAACAAAAGAAACTAGAACTGAAACAGTAATAACGGAACTCATCGAAGAAAATTTCCCAAAATTGAGGAATAAACTAGATCTACACGTGGAAAAAGCTTACAGGGTACCTTTAAATTTTAATGAAAAGAAAGGAACTTCTAGACATATCTTAGTGACGTTTTCAAATTTCAAGTTTAGATAAAGAAAAAAATTTACAAGTATCTAGAGAGAGAAAGCAGGTTATCTATAAAGGGGCAAAAGTCAGGCAGACCTCCGATTTTTCTCTTACAATTTTAAATGTCAGAAGACAATGGGACAATATCTACAGACTTTTAAGAGAAAATAATTTTGAGCCAAGAATTATATACCCTGCCAAGTTATCATTTCTGTATGAAGGCATATGGAAGACATTTTCAGATAAACAGGGGTTAAGAATCAAGAACAGGGGTATATCAATCAAGAACCTTACCTGAAAAATTTGCTGTGTGATTTACTGCATCCAGCAGATAACCTAAATTAAATAACTCAAGTAGGGAGGCAATTGTATGAAAGAACTGGAATAAGCATTAAAACTAATTGAAGAGCATGAAGTTTAAACTATTGTATATGAAGTATTAAAACTAAATACAAAAATAGAAATATATGCTGGGTCTAAAATTTCAGTTTAGCTAGTTTTAAACTGTGAAAGGGAAAGCCAAATGTTTATTGAGCAACTAGTTTTATTTTTAGATGTACTAATGTAGATAAAGAGATGCATGTTCTTAAGCTAAACATAAGTAAAATTAAGGGGCTTTGTCATGTAGACAGGCCAAGTTGACTAAAGGCATTCTAAATGTTAATCTGACAAAATTGGAAAACAGTAGAGTTTTACCTCCCTAATTTTAATTTTAGAGGAAAATAAAAGTAGCAAGTTTGTCCATAATGGTAATACTGATAATGTAAAAAGAAAACTTCCAAATCTCTGGAAGGGGATGAATAAAGCCTTATTTTATGTATATATTGCATGGGAAAAAACAATCACTACATAAAATAATATTTTATATAAGTAAACGTGACATTAAATGAAGTGTTGAGGACAAAAATGGAATATATACATTCTAATTTTTTAGATTGAGGAGGAAGTGGTAAAAACGGAAAAAAGACAGCAAGGAGCATTAAAATTAGCATAAAATAGAATGACAGGTACAGTTGAGTAATACTTATAAACTGATTAAATATCCCTATTAAGATTGAAATTAGATCAAAAATTAGTTTCTAACCTAGAATACTCATTGCATAAAACAAAGGATAAAAGGGTTTAAGGATAATGGAAACTATAAGTCATGGAAATAGCAACATTTTTATTAGAAAGTATATAAGCAAGTATGCACAGCTGGTACATGAAATGCTCATTAAATCAGTTTTAAATAAAAAAAAGGAAGTATATAAGCATATAACATGATATACAAAATATACAATAAAGGATGTAATGTTTAATAAACTTTATGTGGTAAATAACAGTATTCATGTGTAAAATAAGTGTTTCATATCTTGATGTGGGTGATAGTTTTACTTATATAAAGTTGATACATATATTTTAAAACATGTATTTTTAAATTTGTGCATGTACTTAGAATCCATTGAGTAATTCTTCAATTAAAGAGAATACATAGAGCAGAAACTGTGTTGGACCTGACTTCAACACTTATGCTCTTTGATAAATCATGTGAGTAGAAAGTTTTGAGATAAAGTATAGTTAAATAGTTGACTTATGTGTGTATAATATATATTACTTTTTTTTTTTCTTTTTTTTTTTTTTGAGTTGGAGTCTCACTCTGTCTCCCAGACTGGAATGCAGTGGCTGCTCCCGGCCTGCTGGGCTTGGCGATTCTTCCACCTCAGCCTTCCAAGTAGATGGAACTACAGGCGCACGCTACCATGTCCAGCTAATTTTTGATTTATTATAGAGATGAGGTCTCGCCAAGTTGCCCAGGTGGGTCTCGAACCTGCAGGCTCAGGCAATCCACTCACCTCAGCCTCCCAAAGGTGCGGGATTACAGGCTGAGCCACTGAGCCCAGCTTTTTTTTTTTTTTTGAGTTGGAGTCGCACTTTATCGCCCAGGCTAGAGTGCAGTGGCACACTCATGGCCACCCCAGCATCGACCTGCTGGGCTCTGGCGATCCTTCCACCTCAGCCTTCCAAGTAGCTGGAACTACAGGCGCGTGCTACCACTCGGCTAATTTTTTTATTTTTATTATAGAGATGAGGTCTCGCCAAGTTGCCCTGGGAGGCAATCCACTCATCTCAGCCTCCCAAAGTGCGGGATTACAGGCTGAGCCACCAAACCCGGCTATATATATTACTTTTTTATGTTATTTACCTTCTTTTTAAATTTTCCTGAAGCATTTTTCATTGGTTTTATAATAGGATGCAGGGAGCACCTTAATATAAATCTAGAAAGCACAAATGCCCACATTGCAAAAAAGCCAAGAAAATAAGTTTAAACACTGACAAATCACATATCTGGAGTTTTTGAAATGTTCTTAAGTAAACTTTGAGAAGAGAAGATATTATAACAAATAATGATCATTTAGGAAATGCAACAATGAAGATAATTATACTTTGCATACATAGGATGGGTGTAGAAAAGGCAAGAAGTAGGGAATTAAAACACTAAGCATGGAATATACATGTAGGAAAGATTCAGTAACTGAAGTGTTTAAATTCTGCTACTTTTCAAATGTGAAATCAGTCTGCCTAGGTAGTACACTACTCCCAGTATAAGTTGTTCTCACTGCTACAGTTAACTTAGGGATAGTGTTCTCCTTATTGAGTTTTAATGTACTATGATAGATTCTCAGCATCTGACAACTGAGTCTCTAAGATGGGATAGCCAAAGTTTCTTCTCTCCCCTCTCCCCTGCTGTTTGTTTTCCCATTCTCAGACCTCCATGTAACAATATTTTGATCTACAATTTCATGTTAAAAAGTATAACCTTCAAGAAAGCAACATCAACAGCGCCTGAGAACTTGTTAGAAATGTAGCATCTCAGATCAATAACAGCATAGTATTAGATTATGAAATATTAAGCATCTATAAGCCTTCTCCACATAGTGCTCTGTACATTGTGAATGCTCAATAAATGTTAATTAGTATCATTAAAGTATAGAAACAGTTTTGCTTTGCTTAGTCATTATTATGTGATTCTGTTCTTAAATTGTAAACTATTGCAACAGCCCCATTTGAATAAAAGATTTGGTCACATTTTCCTAATATTCCAGGTGTTAACATTTGGGTAGATTCACATGCAACTCTTGTCCTGATATTTCAGAGGTTTCTGGATAAAATCAGAGATCCATCTGTAAAAGCTGACAAGGGCCTGATTAACCATCTAATTGATGACAAGTGGGTAAATAGGAATATTGGCAATAATTGGAGCAGCAGTACTAGTAATTTGCAGTTGGGGCTTTGTTGATTCTCCAGTGACTTCCTCCTCCTCTGATAATACCTTTGTGTGAGTAAAGTGGGCTAAACCAGCGCTTCTCAAATTTGAATGTGCCAACCAATTGCCTGAAGATCATGTTAAGATGCAAATATTTATTCATTATGTTTTCTGTGAATCTGAGTTTTTGTATTACAACTACTACATGTTGCTGGTACTGCCAGTCTGGGTACCACACTTCCAAATAAAACAATAATAAAATCTATACTGTTTCTGCAAACTATGAAAGTGAAGCTCAAAAAAATAATTGGCTTAAGGCCACATGGTAAATATTAGAATCAAATCTGTTCAAGACTAATTTTTGTCTTTCAGATAATCCTGCCTCTTATCCATTCCCTGCACCTACTCAAAAGATGGTTGTGAGAATAAAATGATGATACTTTTTCATGACAAAGAAAGTTCATTAATTCAGATAAGGTTTCTACACAGGAAGTAATATCTCATGGGAGTAATATCATAACTTTGTTTATGATATATTAAACATGATTGTGAAAGGGACATCTGTGGATAAGTTGGACAGGTATTTGGAAATTCAGACCCAGTGCCAGAAGAGATGTCAAGACTGGAAATTTAGGTTTGAGTTTTCTGATTTGAGTGTGGTATTTGAGGCCATGCAAAATTACTCTGGAAC